TGTTATGTCCATCTTTGTTTTAACTGTTTTATAAATAAAAAACTTTAAAAAAAAGAAAAAAAAGAAAATGGAGGATTTGGGTTGCCGGAATGGGTGTTGTATTATCAAGCATCTGTCTTAACATGGGTGAAAGAATGGATAATGCTTAGAAATAAAAGGTTGTTATATTTAGAGGGGCATGATTTACAATTGGGTTGGCACGCTTTCTTATGGTATGGAAAAAACAGAATTCATAAGTATTTCCAAAACCATTATATAAAAAATGCCTTGTTAATAGTATGAGAAAAAATCAAAGCGAAAATATACTTTAAAATTCCAGGGTGACTATCAACGATGGAGGCATTTGTACATCCGAACTTGGTAGATTTTGAAAAAATATGGGCATATAGAGATATTCTAAATATTGATGAGAATTTAAAATCTAAACAAGAATTGGAAAATCAGGGGATCAACCTGTCATGGTGAGAATATTTACAGATGCAAAATAGATATGAAAAGGACATGAAAATGTATGAATTCTATAAAGAACAAACTGTATTTGATAAGATTTTGTTAACCTCAGATGAGAAATTAAGAAAATGTATAATTTTTTGTTAATTTTAGAAATGGAAAGTGAACAAGTTAAAGGAAAGATGGGCAAAAAACTTTGGCTACAATATAGAACTAGAAAAGTGGCAAAAGCGATGGGAGAGAAATTACAAATTAACAATGTCAACTTCATATAAAGAAAAGTTATATAAATGTTTTATAGATGGCACTTGCCACCAGCAAGATTAGCAAAAATGTTTAAAAATATGTCAGATAGATGTTGGAAATGTAAGTACAACTCAGGCATGTACTATCACATTTGGTAGATATGTGGCAAAGCAAAGGCTTATTGGAAAAAGGTATATGCGTGGTTAGAAAAAATATTAGGTGAACATGTTGATTTTAAGCCTGAACTTTTCTTATTAGGTATAATGCCTGAAAAGATTAATAAGCAAAGTCTATATTTGATTTTACACGTCACCACAGCAGCGAGAATAATCTTTGCGCAATATTGGAAGAATGAGAGGAAGAAATAATCAGAAAAATATTGGAATGCGCAGAGATGGACAGATTAACCATGAGATTGAAAGATAAAGAAGACACAGATTACTACCAAATTTGGGACTTACTTTATTGTTGGCTAGAGGAAAGAATGAAGGATTAGGAATTGAATATGTATTAGCATAGCTGAGCTCAGACTGCTCGTTGGTTGAAAAATTAGATTTTACACTTCCTTTACACTTCATGAAAGATTATAATCTAAATTCCTAAGGATATTCCAGGTAGCTCCTTCTGTTCCAAATGTAGTATTAAGGAGAGATGCAGAACCATCTAAAGTTAAAACAGGTGCATGGACTCGTCTCCTAGTTACTCTACTTTCTCACAGATTTGAGTTTTTTGCTTATTGAGGAGAGTTACAAATCAATATAGTTCAGAACAACCTTACAAAAACTTCAACACACTTCCAGGGAGGCATTCCTAATGATGGGCTATAAGCATGGACTCAACACATTTGAACAATGTGTCTAAGATTTGGAAGCCCAACAGGACTAGTCTGTTCTACCTTAAGTATGTTTTTCTAAGCAGTCAAGCCCTTATTTAAAGTCAGTGCAATACTTACATCACATAACTGTTTCCAAATTCCAAAGAACACTAACTTTAGCATACTTCAATGCAGCATTTTGAATGGCTGATACAAAAAAGTTCCTTATGAGCTGAGACTGTGCCCATTAAATAAAATTTGTTTTGAAGATTTTGTATCTGAAAATGGAAAATAATTTTCTATTGTTTTAAAAGAACTTTAAGCAAAATTTAAACGCATGGCAGCCAACACTTGGGGGAAGAAAGCCTTTTTTAAGTAATACAAAAATAACTTTTTTTCTATAGTTTCACTATGGTTTAAAAAAGGTCTAGAATAGAATAGAATATCTTTATTGTCATTGTGTAACTCACAAGGAAATTAAGAATACATGGGAGAAGAAGCATTTGAGAAACAGATATATTTCCAGCTGAAATGTATTTCTGGATAATACTTGAGTATCAGAAAATCTGTCTGGTTCACAACTCCTTCCAAAAGCTGCCTATTTTGCAAAGTCTTGGCAAAGAAAAAAAAACAGTATAAAGAAAAAAACACACAAATATCAAAGACAAACACATGGGATTAAGAGGGAAAGCGTTAGATGGAAAAAGCTGTTCAGCTCAGCTGGGAATGCGGGATGAAAAAAGGAGGGCAATCTGATAAAGAGAAAAGGTGGGCACGAGAAAACCCCGATGTAGGAGGGAATGCCTACAAACAACGGGAGAAGCGGGTCGAAAAGCGCAGCAAAGTGGGAAAACGGCCCCGTGCGCCGCTCTCCAGGCTCCGCGAGCGCTTCTAAGCAATGGGGCGCGGAGGCCTGGTCTGGACGGTTGGCAGCGCGTGGCTTCTCGGGCGCGCAGCTAGGAGGGCTTGCTTTGGGTTTCGGCTGTGGAAGGAAAGCAGGCCTTCAGAGTGGCGAGCCGACCTTAAACCACCCGAGAGGTGCTGTATTTGCGGCCACAGCTTCGCAAGGGAAGATTCTGTGCCACCTTTCTTCTAGTTGGCCCAGACTATTGCTTGCCCTCGAGCGGGTCGAATTATCATGACGGCGACCAGCTCTCAGTCCGATGTTGGCGCTGACATACTGAGTCAACGTTTCACCACCCTGGACTATGTCATCTTTTCCACAATGTTGCTTTTGTCGGCGGTAGTCGGCGTATTCTACGCCTTCGAGGGAGTCCTAAAATCTCACAAGGACTTTCTGATGGCGGACCACAATCTAAGTTTTTTGCCTGTGGCATTTTCCCTCGCGACTAGCTATATGTCGGCCTTGACAGTGTTGGGAACTCCGGCCGAAGTCTATCGCTTCGGAAGTGTTTTTCTCCTCTTTGCTTTTTCGTACGCCATCATGGTGGTGATCACTGCTGAAGTGTTCCTACCCGTCTTCTATCGACTGGGACTCACCAGCGTTTACGAGGTAGGAAAGCAGCCGTACCTACCTACGCCATGGCAAGCTAAAATTTACACCACACGTTACGTCATAATTCTATACAGTCTATTTTAATGTTAAAACCTTTCCAGTGTTTTCCTGGACCGGGATGTGTAGCTTAAGATTTCGCTTGGATAATGAAATGGGCGGCATAATAATAAATACAGACTTCTATTTCTTCTCTGACTTAGCAAGAGCTTGTCCATCTAATGTTCATATTGAAATTGCACGGAGGTTTTAATTTCTGAATCTTTCTTGGATTTCAACCAGTGGTTTATATTAAACTTACAAATGACGAAATGCAAAACATTTCCACGTGTTGGCCATTGGGGCAACTCTGTGTTAATTGCAATTCAGAATTGCAAGCGGTAATAATTTAAACTTCTCGGCCCTTTTTTCAATTCTGTTAAAAATAAATTAACTAACCATTGGTACAACTTAGGTATTTAATAAATTAATAATGCTAAAAGAATAAACTGTTCTCAGTTATCTTAGAACAATTTAATTTGCTGATTTCTCTTAAAATAGGTCTTTCAATTTTTGTTCCAAAAGTATAACTTATCAAGATTCCCTAAAAAAGAGATGCCTTCTAAAATGGGAGCAGTATATACTATGGATATATTATCAATTTCCTTTCCCCAACTGTCTCCTTTTATTTTTTAGTTATCTCTGTTTATGGGAATAAAATGTGATCTTTTCATGTGGCTCCCCATTCTAAAGAAAAATAGAAACCAATACTTGATTCTAACCCATACCAACCTTTAGAATCATAAGAGTGGAAGAATTAGCATGGTATATGCAGTACAATGCAGTGAGCCATGCGCAGATCTGTACGCTCTTTTAATTGGAATCTTCCTGTAATTTAAATTTGTTTTTATGTCTTGCACTCTGAAATGAAGGAGAACAGATTCTCATTCACCCTTTAACGTACCATATTCTCCACTCTCATCAAGTATGATGTCCAGAAGAGGACATTGTACTCTGATCACAGCAGAATAAAATGGGACTATACTTATTTGCCGCAATTTGGAAAGTGTATTCTTTTGTTGGTGCATCTTAAAGTTGTTTTTGACTTTTTTTCTGTACTCATGTTACACTGCAGTCATTTTCTGCTTATAGTCATTATTCCAATATATTTTTCACAAGTACCAATATCACGGTATCACCCTTCCTCAAGATACTTCCATTGTAATCTGCAACTATTCAGAAAATGTTTGACACTTCACAAGCAAATTCCTTTTCTTCCTCTGTTGAATTCCCTGAAAAATTTGTGTTAACTCTTACGCTGGCTTTCTTGTTAAAATTTGGGCATTCAAACTTCTTTGCTCTTTTCTTTCTGTACATTGCATTTTTCTATACATAAGCACATTTATTTTGTTTTAATAACTTACCTCTCTTGCAGTACTTGGAACTTCGGTATAACAAGTATATGCGTATTCTTGGAACAATGATTTTTATAATACTAACGGCAAGTAGAAACACAGAATATTATTGATTATCTTTAAACCTTATTTAAAGTATCATAAACAGTAGTTTTTAAATGCAGTGTTACTTACTGCAAATAATATATAAATTTGGTATTGTAAATGGTATGTTCCTGGTTTAAAATTAAATTGGCTTTTAATGAGTTAATTTATAAAGGGTTATTATTTATAAGGAAAAGTATATTCCATATATTCTCTGTCATATATAAAAAGTATGGAAACGGGGCACTAAATGTATATTGAAAATACGGTAATAAATTTTCTGTTACTATTTGTTCTTAGTAGAACTTGTTCATAAGTCATCATATAAGATGGTTTCTCCTTTTACTTGATCTGAAACATTTTAACCACCCTATTGTACTCTTTGGGTACAGAGAATTTATTATAAAAAAATCAGGTATAAAAATAACAGTTGCATAGCGAAAAATACAAAGCTCTAATGGGATCTTACAATCTGGTTTTTCTTCTCATCTTGAACTCGTATTATACTGGTCAAAACTAATTTTTATTACAGTAAATTTACATAATAGTTCTTATTTCATATTATATTCAGTATAAATTAACATAAATAAATATTTATGAGGATACCCATGTGCTCATGCTTCTTTCTTTCTGTTATTTCTGCAGATATTATACACCAGCATTGTTATATATTCTCCATCACTGGCTTTGAATAAAGGTACTGTGAACATTTATATCCTCTAGGACATAACGTTCTAACACAGAAAAAGCTGCATAACCTAGAGCCAAACTTTATTGAGTTTGGAACAAAGAAAAGGATGACTACATAAACAAAACATAGTATCATTAAATAATTACTGCAGGAAAGTCTGAATGTGTCTAATTCACATTCACTGCCCTACTTTTAAGTCTAATTCTTCTGAAGGTAATTTTGTCTTCCTGTGATTTATTATAAAAAAACTTGTTGAGGAAAAGATTTCCAATTAGTTCATTGTTTAATTGATTTTTGTGTAAATTTTCTGTTCTTAGTTTGGGGTTAAATAATCACAGGTTATTCTTTTCACTCTGGCACACCTCTCCCTGCTCTTCTCCCTTTTCACAGATATTTGCTTACAGTCTCTCAAAATAACGAAGTCTTCTGAGAACGAGGACTGAAGATAAATTTGCCTTTCACTTACATAGCAAAGTCTGTGCTTGAGACAAAGATGTGTACTCAGCTGAGACACTAGCTGTGTGCCTATGGGCTGTCTGTTAATTAAGAGGTTTTCAATCTATGTGTGTACTATATACACTATAATTTATGGGTTTTTTGTGTACTTCTGATTAGCTTTTCTTTAATTAATTTAAATATATTTCTTCTGTGCTATCCTAGAAATATTTCAAAAACAATGTCTTTTTTTTCAGTTACAGGATTTCAGTTGTGGGGATCAGTAATAGCAACAGGATTAATCTGCACCTTCTACTGCTCAGTAGTATGTTAATAAATCTCTATAATTCACATTTTGTAAATTATTAGTAAAGCAATCCAAGTTAGATTTAATATATGTTTTCCCTATTCTCTTATCCAGTACTTTCAAACATGCAAGCATATGGAATTTCATGTTTACAGTCTTAAATTGCAGAAAACTCATCTTTCTTAGATTCTTCAGAGTTAAGTTAAAAAACTGCTTTTAAGGACCTGGCCTTCTCACCATGTAAAAATTTCTGTATTATATAAAAAACAATCTATAGACAAATATTTGTAATATTGTAATATAGCCTAATTAAAGAAAAAAGGCTCCCAAAAGAATATCACGAGTACAGCAGCTCCTAGTTGTTTTCAGAAAAGAAGCTGATATTATTTAAAATATGAATATTAATTTATTCATTTGAAACAAATCTGAATACTAGAATATAAAAGAAAGCTCAACTTTTTAAAATTTTCTTTTTTAAAGGCAAATGAATGTATACATGATCTATGCCAATATTTTTATATTTAGTGGGTAATTTGTGCAAAAAATGAAAACATTTGTCATTGAAACATGTCTTTGTCAGATTTTATATGCATGTTTATATAGGCAGAACATATATTTTACTATATGTAATATCTGTTTTCAACTAGGGTGGCCTAAAGGCAGTAGTCTGGGCAGATGTTTTCCAATATATACTGATGATAATTGGGCTTGGAGTAGTGTTTGCAAAGGCTGTGATAATTAAAGGAGGATTTGGCCCTATTCTAGATGATGCTTATCAGGGAGGAAGACTAAACATTTGGGAGTAAGTATTCTTTTGCATAGAAAGTAATAAAAATGCAACTTTTTATTAAAACTATTAAAGTTTTTTTTAAGTTTATGAATGCATATTTGAACAGGTGGACAACTGATATGAATCTAAATAATTTTTAAATAGCAAATTAACAAGCTATTTAATAATAATAATAATAATAATAATAATAATAATAATATAGTTGATAGATTAACAACAGATCTCACTTCCCCCCCCCACCCTCCCTCCCCATCTGTAATTGGATCGTGGCATATGCTGGTATTTATTTATGTTTTTAGGATATCTATACTGTATATATCTTTTACGATTGTAAGCCACCCAGAGTTGCCCTGTGCTACGGTGGGTGGCCATTAAACTTTATAAATAAATAAATAATAAACATTTTGTATTAATACAAGTTACTATAACAAGCTGATTTGGGTTCTTTTTAAAGAACAGTCATTTATATTATATCTAAACAGAAATATTCTCTCTTAGGAGCTTACTATCATCTTTTTAAAGTGACTTCTAAAGGCTTGTCTCTTCACCTTAATCTTCTATATATATGAATGCCAGATTAAATTAGAGAGTCGTCTTTCTTTTTAGTGATAACCATTTGTATTAAAAGAAATAAAAGATACCCTTGAATAACAATGTAACTTAGGAAGAAAAGCTTCTATCTTGTTTAGACTATCTGTATACCTACAATAAAAAGTTATCAAAGTAAAATATTTTTACTATCCTAATAAATTTAATAAGGTTGACCAGGAGGTAGGAATTTTTGTTGGTCTGTATGAATCATAGCAACAGGATTCTCTTCTTTTGAAATTTAAAAAGTAAAATTTCTAAATAATGGTGACAGTAATGCCAAAGCAGTAATTGTACAAAAATTCTAAATCCTTGCCACTGTCGTTTCATGATGAGATGTGATTGACTCAGATGATTCTCACAATATGTTGACATAATTATAGCCCATGAAATGCCAGTCACCATTTGTAGGTAGTCCTTCAGAGAAAACGTTCTTCCCCAACAGTTTTCAGACTGTATCATGTGTCTTAATTGTGTGCTAAGTTCAGAAATTAGTCTTCTCTGCCACCTTTTCCAGAAAGCCATAAGAAATATTTTTTTGCCAATGCATAGTCCTCCACTTTTCCTTGTTTAAGCCAACTAATATTTTCTCCAACTTGCAATGAGAGAGAAAAAAAATGGCAACTATTTGGAGTTCCATACCTTTCTTTATGGAATGGAATATTTTGTAGTATTGTAATATGTTATAGGCAAAATAGGAGCTTGTTCTAGATCAGGGGTGTCAAACTGCCGGCCCGTGGGGAAAAAGCTCCGATATGTTGCGTGACGTCTGCTCACATGACAACATGACAACATGAGAAATGTCACTTGTAAGACTGACTTTTTAAAATAATAATAATAATAATAATAATAATAATAATAATAATAATAATAATAATAATAATAATAATAATAAAATAAAAAAAAAAACTTGGAAGGGACCCTGGAGGTCATCTAGTCCAACTCCCTGCTCAGGCAGGAAACCCTATACCATTTCAGACAAATGACTGTCCAGTCTCTTTTTAAAAACTTCCAGTGTTGGAGTATTCACTGCTTCTGGAAGTAGGTTGTTCCACTGATTAAGTGTTCTAACTGTCAGAAAATTTCTCCTTAGTTCTAGGTTACTTCTCTCTTTGGTTAGTATCCATCTGTTGCTTCTTGTCCTGCCTTCAAGTGCTTTGGAGAATAGCTTGACTCCCTCTTCTTTGTGGCAGCCCCTGAGATATTGGAACACTGCTATCATGTCACCCCTTGTCCTTCTCTTCATTAGACTAGACATACCCAATTCCAGCAACCGTTCCTTATATGTTTTAGCCTCCAGTCCCCTAATCTTTGTTGCTCTTCTCTGTACTCTTTTTAGAGTCTCAACATCTTTTTTACATTGTGGTGACCAAAACTGGAGGCAGCATTCCAAGTGTGGCCTTACCAAAGTATTGTTAAGTGGTATTAACACTTCACATGATCTTGATTCTATCACTCTGTTAATGCAGCCTAGCACTGTGTTGGCTTTTTTGGTAGCTGCAGCACGCTACTGGCTCATATTTGAGTCATTGTCCACTAGGACTCCAAGATCCCTCTCACAGTTGCTATATTGAGCAAGGTACCACCTATACTATACCTGTGCATTTGGTTTCTCTTGCCTAAATATAGAGTCTTACTTTTTCACCATTGAATTTCATTTTGTTAGATACCGCCAGGGCTTTTTTTCAGCCGGAACGCGGCGGAACCGCGTTCCGGCACCTTTTTCCGGGCCGGCCGCACCGGAAATAGCCCCTCCCACACCGGAAATAGCCCCTCCCAAATTTTACTTGCATTCCTGTTCTCTAAAGGGGCGGTCCTAGGGTTTGATGAGGGCGTGGCCAGGTTTGAGTTCCGCCACCTTTTCTC